ATATCATGCCTTGGTAGGTGTTTCGAATCAGGGAGACTAGCTTCTCTGGTACTCCATAGTGCCTCAGTATCTTCCACAATGTCTCTCGGTCCACGCTGTCTAATGCTTTTTCATAGTCGATGAAGTTGACATATAAGGGGGACTTCCACTCCAGTGATTGTTCTATAATGATGCGCAGACTGGCTATCTGGTCAGCACATGATATGTTGGCTCTAAAAACTCATAAACTGCTACTAAATATTTAGAAAAGAACAATTGAATGCCAAATCTTACCTCAGCTTAAGTAACATTTTGTTTTATCATGAATTCAAGAAATCCTGCCTTCGGACCTAATAATTCATTTAAGGAGTGTGAAACAACAAAGTACTGAGTAATATGTTTGTTCTCCTTGAATTGGTTTTATTTCAATGTTTCAGATACCATAAGACTCAATATGGACTTTGATGCTCGACAATCAGCGGTGAACAAACGCAAACGTATGTATATGAATAAAAATGTTCAGGAATAATATTGTTTGGATGATATACATTTAAATTAACGTAGCTACGGATAGCGATCACGTGACATTGCATGTGAATTCTAAATTAAGAATTTTTCCGTTGGCTTATTCCGGAAATGCGCATTGTTCAATATGGCGGACTGCAAGTTGTAAACAACGTGCTCCGAGAAAAGTACAAGAGAAACGTTATAGGAACGCTCAGCTGTAAAGGTAGATCAAGTAAATTAGAGCGAATGAGAGAATACACATCTTAAGAAACAGAAAACTATAAAACCTTTTTCTGAACTAAAATGTCTGTGTATCGCAAACGACCGACTAGCACCCCCTATTCTAAAGCAGACGACGCTGCTGGTTTGAATCTCAATCATGATATGACATGGATGAAATCGAAAGAGGGACGAAGATTTGCTGAGATGAGGAACTTGACAAATCAGTTTTATGCTCTCAGTCACAGTGATATCGTTTGTATCTTTTCCAAAAACTTTGAAAGCGATGGTGACTAGGTACTTTATTGTATCAATACATTAGGCCTACATGTAAATGGGTCTGATAGTACTGTATTATTTATGGATTTATCGACACTTTCCACGGGAAATCCCGGCCCCGAAAGTAATACGATGGAGAGGCTTATGATCACTGTTGATATCAACTCAAAAGTAGCTCTTGGTAAGTCATATCTATAGATATTTACATGACATACTTTCATGATAAAAGGCCTATTTTAATTCAGCATTAAACTTCACCCTTATGAGTATTAGTAAATTAAGAAAATGTAATAAAGGGACTGTCATTCATTTGATGGGGGAGGGAGGGAGGGGCAAATTTCATGGGTGTCAGATTATGTATTTACAGTGAAGGACAGATAATTTATTTTTATTTCCAAGATCACTGGGGGCTAATTTTTGTCAGATTGTACCTAAGATATATTTCTATTCAAAAAATTCTACATTTTATAATCATTTAGGGTATTTCGATTCACCTTTACAGTATTTACATTTTGACTTAAAAAAATAATTTTGAGGATAAAACATGTTTGAAAAGTAAATTAATTTATCAATAATCAGGTAAATTTTGTGTATATTATTATTTTTGTTGCTCTGAGTGAGTGTTTCAGTTTGGTAAAATTTACAGTAGCCCTGCAGGGCAAGTTTAAAGGCATGTTTAGTAGTCCAAACTCAATATTCAGTTGTCGCGGGCTAGCGGACTACCCTTAGTGTTGAACCCTGGACAGATTATTTTTGTTTTTCTTGACTGGTAAAAACTGTGTCAGTGTGGTAAACATTGAAACTGTTTACATGTTGTTTGCTGGTCTGATGAAATTGACAAATCTTTATATTACTGCTGCTGTATAGTTAGAATATTGGCCAGGCAGTGGGGCATTTAATGTTAGATTTACTGGTTAAAAAGTGATTTGCCAATCAACTAACATAATTAAATTTTGGTTTTGCTGGTATACATGTATATTTATTTGATCTATTTTTTTTCAGCCATCAAGATGGAACTTTCTGGTATAGGACCACCAACCCATAGCAGACCAGGGGATTTTGATGTCAGCATAATAGTGATTATGGTTAAGTCATTTAAATTTTGCTATGCCAGATTTAATAAGTGTAGAAAATTGGCAATTTACATGTATGAGGTGTAAATTTTTGCAAGTTATATATACATGTATGTAATATGTAATGGTTTGGGCCATGGATATATATCGTCCAGGGTAGCTCAGTCTGTATAGCACATGACTAGTGATGCAGGGGTCTCAGGTTTGATTCCCGGTCCATCCATACATTTTCTCTTTTCCTGTTACATATACATGTTTCTTTCACCGAAATTCCTTATATAAGATATAGACATTGTGAGAAATATATTTTGATGTTGACTGCAGATAATATTGTATTTGTTAAATTTTATAAATTACAGATAGATTCATCAGTACAGAGTACAAGGTATATGAATATGAAGTTTAGACCATTCATGTTGATGATGATTCAACTACTGCAGCTCGACGGAAGAATGATTTTCCACCCCTTCCAAAAAAGAGCAGGACAAGAATCGCTTGTTGAAAGTAAACTAACATAGTCAATAGACTACTTTTCTTTGTCAGCTTTATATTACCAAGTACATGTATCTCTTGATTGAGTGTTACATTTAAAGTGGAAACTAATCACTCCACATATAGATTTTTTTTCCATTTTTCATATTTAATCTACCCTGTTTTATGTCTGGTGTGGTAATAGATCACTCCACATGCAGCCTTTCATGTTTAATGTACTATGTTATGTATTGTATATGTCAGTTGCAGTATTACACTGCTGTAGAGTGTAGATTATTCTTTTTAAAAAAAATGTATGCGTAATTTAATGTCGACTTGTGATGTCGGGTTCAGTAATAGGCCAATCAACAGATATTCTCTATTATGCATAATCTACACTGTGAGTGTTTTTCAGGCTTTTTAATAAGCTGCTCCAAATATTCATGTAGAATCTTTTTTTTTTAACTTTTTATATAAAATGTCCTGCATCAAGTGTTTTGTCCCAGTGCAGCATTGTCATTTTGTTTTTAATTTTTAGGTACAGTTTATGTAATTTTATATCTCAGGTCAAGGACGGTTTTAGACTAAGCCCATTTTATGTTTTTTTTCTCTGTTTAGCGTCCAACCTTCAATCAAAAACCTACCTACATGTACCTATTTGTAAATAAAAATATAGCCTAAAAAATAAAACACAGAATGTACGTGTATCATGTCTATAGTTATAATAATAGTGTAAATCTGAGGATTTTATTTCATCAATCTGCTTTTCTGGCAGAAATATCTATTCTTCAGCAAAATCAAAATAATAAATTTAAATGCCTAAAGTACACTACCTTTGACATATTTATTGTACATATTTGAGAAATTGACAGAACTCAAAGATTTCAACAAAAGTAATCAAGTGTAGGGGTTCTGATTTTGTTTGATTGTCTGATACATGTAGGTGTCAAAAACCAAGGTGCGATTGGATGCCAAACAGAAAGAAGACTTGGAATGGCCTATTAAATGTTATTATCCTACCTGCTCATGGAATAAAATGACTTTTGATCAATTTGAAAGAGTACTTATCATATTTTTTCAATGATATTCTTATTATTCTATGAAATAGAAATTTGTGAATTTTGCAGTGCTATGTCAGAGGGATTTCTTTATTCTGTATGACCAAAATGTATTTTTGGACAAATTAAGTAGAATACATTTGACATGTTAATAATTAGGGGGATTTTTGACATTGCAATGAAAAAAATATCAGATGCATAATAGGAGGGGGTGTATTAGACCATTCTGTAACTTAATACATGTAGTTAATTGCCTCTTAATGCAGCCGAGATTTCTGAGTGAGAAATAGTATTGGACATTTTTGTCATACAATATATTTTTTAGAAATCTATAAGAAAACATAGAATTTGTTTGCATGAAAGTAATCAAAAGGGATCATGTTGAAGAATATTTAAATGTGTTTTTTTTAATTACATTTTTGTTCAAGAATCTTTTGTTGAAATATAAATTCATATTTTAATTTTGTTGAGGAACTTTTTATGGATAATTTCAATATTGGTTTAATTACACGTTTTATTGCGAGGGGAGGGGGGGGGGGGTTAACTCTTCCAAGTTATTACTCTACATGTACTATTATTTCATAAAAAATTTTCTTTAGTCATTTATTAGCAATTGATTTTTACTTCTAATTTATTTCTTCAGTTGTTTTTCCCTAATTTGCTATGCATTTTTTTGAATAGCCACTTTAATCATTATTCTTACCTTTAGGATGGGAAACCAAAAGAGGGGGGGGGTAGATGTGGACCATCTGGTACCTTTATTAGCCCTCAATGTGACCAAGATTTTTTGAGTGAAGAATAGTATTAGACAGATCTTTCATATAATGATAAAAAATAAAAATTCTATTGGACAGATTTTTTTTAGAATTTAAAAAGTGTCAAATTTGTGTGCATGAAAATGGCCAAATTGGTCGAATTTCAAATGTTCTACATGGATTATTCTCTTAATTTATATATGTTCAGACAATCCATTGTTTAAATAAGTTAATAGTATCAATATTGTTTAAAAATAATTTTTAATATTGAATGCATATTGCACAATAAATTTTTTATGGGTAATAATTATCTTGTATTATGATTTTTGGAGTGACTGGAAAGGGGAGGTAACTCATTACCCCCTGGTTCCGTAATTTACCCACAATGCCATGTTCATATTTCGACTAAGTGTTCATTACACATCCCTTTACACCTTGTGAAAATTTCAACAAAATCTATTGACAGGTTTTTTGGGGGTCAGGTGTCCTTAGCTACCTTAAATTAAGTATTACAAAGGATTTTTGAGGAGGTAAAAATGAGTCCATGGAGACTTAATTTATTTAGGTATAACTAAATAGAGTTAGGATTATTCTAAAATATAACATTTTTTTGAATTAACGGTCTTTTGTCTTTTTATCCTTCATGGCATTTTGAAATGTTATATAAATTACTAAGTCTAAAATAGTGTATTATTGTCTTTTGTAAATCGAAATGTCTATAAATATCTGTATAAATGATTTTAATAACAGGGTCAGACGATGAGGAATATGAATTTGAAGAAAAGAAACTGAAGCTTCAATCTGAAACAGATCCGAATGGTTTGTTAGGTATTCCCTCACTACAAAGTCCCATTTATCATGAAAAAGAAATTCCTCTCGAACAACAAGTATTCAAAATCCATTCAATCAAGCATGAAACAGAAGTAAATATTCAGCATGAAAGAGGAAATAAGGACGACTTGGCTTCCGACTGTTTAAGAGAAAGAAATGAATTTGTTGCCGAATCCATTCAAAGTAAAGAAATATTATCTATTCCTGTAGAAATATTAACCTTTGGATCCGAAACTACTTCTTCGACAAACTTGACAGAAATTAAAGAAGATGAAGATGGAATTTGCATTGACCATGCAGAAGATTCTAGAAAAATTTATATACATACTGAAGTTATCAGCTCAAACAACTTCGAAAATGAAAATAAAGATCAAGCACAATCGCCAAAATACATAGAAAAGAGAGTTAAACATCTCTCAAATGAATCAAGCCCAAATTCCTTTTGGGATGAGGATTCATGCGCAACAGTCTCCAAAGCCGAGATTAATAATTCAATAAAACTCCGGGTACCAGAAAACATAGAAGATGAAGATCCTAATAATCAAGAAGAGGCCAGCCAAGTCTCTAAACGCGATGAAGGCTCATCGGATCCAGGAATACTTGGCGAAAACGAGTCTTCAAATACTTACGACATTTACATCGAAAAAGATGACGATAAAAACGTGAGCGAGTCAACGCCGATTGTCAAAGAAATAGTTATCGAAGAAAAAGGACCAGCTTCCCCAAGTCACAATCAGACAGGAAGGAGCGTTGACGTTATTGGGTCTTTAGAGGAAAATGATGATGACACTGAAGACAGGAATGATAATGATAGCGATTCCGACAAATATTTGTACAGACTACTGCGACCTGACGAAACTTATAATTCTGGAATCTTTCCCAAAAATAGACATTCCTATACAAGCCTTGAGGATCATGTTAGTAGTGGGTCTAGAAGCACTATAGGGTCAAAGTTCATTTCCTGCTCTAAATCGTTAGAAAAGATCATGCGGTTTGCCAGAATGATCCGGAGAAGTTGGCGCCACGAGGTAAGACACATTGTGCGGATTGACCGCACCCTCATGGGAAGCGATGTAGAGGAAATAGATCTCACTGACACAAGCGTCCGAGAAACACACCTCACCAGTGACAGATCAAGAAGAAACTCCTTAAGATTTGATGAGATTATATTGGTTCCAAAAGAATGCATACCTGCTGCAAGCGTTAAGAGGATTTGCCATGTCCAGAATGACTCTATTTATATTGACGATTAAAAATCCCATATATATCTACGATAACACAAATGAAAATAAAAAACAAAGATTGGGCCAAAATAAAATTATAGTTTGTTTGGAATTGCCTCCCGCCTCATTGAAATGCCCCCTCCTGAAAAAATTTATTGATCAAAAGTAGGAAGTTTTTTTTTTAATCATTTTTTTTTGCCCATTACATGAACACATGCACCATACAAAGCATTGAAATATAGTGTAGATATCTATGTAAAATTATGTGTTTTTTTTTGGTTTTTTTTGTTAATTGTAGATATATTTGTTTAGAGTCAGAAAATATATTAACTGTTTACTGAGATATTTATGAAAAATTAAAAATTTTTCTTCCATTTAAAACAAAAAAAATTCCCCTCCCTCCCTCCTCTGTCTGAAAACCTTCAGGCGGCAATTCCAAACAAACATTTTTTTAAGGATGGCCTTGGTAACGAAATAGTGAAAATACCCTCTGTTTTTATTGTGACATTGAAGGATATGTGTGATTTTTCAAGCTTTATTAACTTTTTTCTTAACAAGTTTATATTATTAATGCATAAAAATATGCTATTTATTTTATTATAATTTATTCAGTTATTTTCTTTAAATTAGAAATACTCTCCTACAAATGAAAGAAATGATGCATTTCCTTTCCTTTTTGGTGTGTGACTGTGATATTAATAAAGACATTAAATAACAATTGCGTGTATTTTGACTGTTTCTGTTTGTCATTTACAAACTTAATATTAATTTAATTAAAATTCATAGATTTACCTGCTGAACTCTTAGGATGTATAAAGATATCGAACATTATTAAAGCTCAAAACGTCCAGAAAAAAACACTAAAAATAGAGGTGGAAAAAGATGATATTGGAGAGTAAGCATCCACTGCCGATCGGTCACACCCGCTGTGTGCTCTTAGAAGATAAGGATATTAAAACGGTGGATATTCAGTGTTTAAATAATGGCCTAACAAAAAGTTTGAAAAACGTCAGTCAGCATTTCACTGAAGGACCATCTCTACACGTTGCAAATTTTTTTTTAGATTTACCACCCAGGAAACGTGTTCATACACAACACAGTATCAGTGAACAGAAATAATTAAATGTTTACTACCATACAGAGAACACACATATAAATAGCATGTTCAATTTATTTATTATCTTAGCCCTCTAACATGTAAAAAAAACTAGAGGTACTGTGAGCAATGAGCTCATTAAATGATACCCCCCGCCTCCAATATGAATAAAATGGCAGTGTCCATGTTTTGCTCTGAAAAATCCAAAATATATGTCAGATCAAAAAGTAAAATAGGAGGTGCACAATGGCAATATGTAATTAAGATTCTGTGAAAGTTTTATTTAATTTCCTTCAGTGGTATGAGAGGAGTTGCGGAAAAGAGATGGGTACCCAAAAGCGTAACAGACGGACGGACGGACGGACACATCTGTTTCATACTTTATGCTTTTTTTAACTGAGTATGATCTAATATATGCAGTTTTATTTTTATTTAAATGTAAAAAGGTTATAGTCTTTCAATCCAAGATAAAGTCTTCCATGAACTTTAATCCCTTTTCTATTTTTATATTAAAGCTTATAAAAATGTTAAGTATAGTAAGTTTTTTTCTTTCACTCATATGGTGACGTCATCTCTCACCCAAGGACTCGTTCTCCAGGTGTACGTCTCGCAGTGGTTTCAAACCCGCGACGTTATGATTATCTCTGAACATCGCTACTCTAGAACAGATGCTCTTACCACTGCACTTGTATCTAATTTAAGTATTTAAGATCTAAAAACATTTTTTTAAAAAATGCTGACCTACCTTGTTCTTTTGTTTGACACTGTGTCACTTATTCTCCTCTGTTCCATGTACAGGTAACGATAAAATCATCTTCTTCCTTCCTCTTTATATGGATTCCGTCTGATGACAAATTGAAGAACTTATGTTGGCAGGTCAAATTTATGTGTTCCTTGTTGTAGGTGGCATCAACCGTAAATTCTGAACCTACTGAAATGAAGTTAATTAAAAAATAAATAAAACAAATATTTATCGTGTTCTTACTAATTCGATCGATCGAAGGATAGAGAGAAACTTACGACATGGTATCATTATAATAGATTTATTGATATGGCTTCCATTATTACACCTGGAATGTATCACCATCTGTTTTCCCGCATGATGTTCCAGATGAAAAGTGAAACTGAATCGAAGAGATTTATTGGTATTCTCATAATTCCCATTAATACACATTTTTCCTTGATTCCAATCGCATTGATCAACATGATTAGGGTCTCCCTCTACAGTAATGGTAATATGTCTGACGTCACAATTATTGTCAGTTACAATGGTTTTTCTTTCATTGTGACAGAATTCTTTTGTTTCTTCGGTTTTTGACAAAATTACTGAAAATTAAAGAGAAATCATTTTCACATTTTTATCAAAATCCATTTCATAAAGACATACTGAAGATATGGTTATATATGTAAACCATATATTAACTGTGATAGATAAAATACTCTTTCAGGGAAATTTTCGCCCCTTTCGTCCTCTTGAGAAATGAGCGAATTTAAAACGGGGCGAATTCAAATAAACAGCATAATTTCTTACGCAGAACTAAGAATGGGCGAATTTAAATTGGGCCAAATTGTTCACAACTGCAAATGGGCGAAAATAACACGGGGCGAAAATAACCCTGCATACTACGTCAATGTTACATGTAATGATTTTATCGTAGGAAACATCATTGTTGATGTGTGTTGAGCAAAAAAAATGTAATCAGGGTATGGTTTATTTATTGAAGTGTTAAGTTCAAGTTCAGTTTATTTCACCCAGAACAACGTATTGGTGCATGAGGTAAGGTGCTTTTATAACATATATACATTATATATAATATATGCAGTCTGGTCAGAGGTACATAAACTTTATAGTAAACATGACAGGAAATTAAAGACGTACAACATACTGAGGGAGATAACTCTTGCAATTTCAATTGAACGTTTGACGTGACATCAAATTTAACGTTGGCAATAAAGCATCATGGTGATGAATACTACGATCCCGATGTATCAATCATAAAAGAAAAATGGGATATGGGGATTGATTTCTGAAAATTTTATTTAAGCCTACATTGCCTAAATTCTCGTTATGTACAATATTGGCTACGCACATGTAACTGTCTATATTTTAATTTGTGCATTCGCGATAATAATATTGGTTAGTTCTTCTTTAATTAAAACAACAACACCAATTAACAAATAAAAACTTTTTACGACATCGATGTCTTTCTCAGAGCCTTACTGATCAAAGAGGAACAACTATCGAATTGTTTTTGATATATAAAAAAAACCAGTAGTCATTATGTATTCTGCATTCATGAATTAACAAACTAGTGTGTACCACAGGGATTCATATGACGAAATATATCTACACTGTAACCAACGCTTTTTTCAAACGCTAATCGTCTTAGCAGCGACGCAAAAAAGGAAAGGGTGGGGGTGGATGGGGGTATTCAAAAATTACCTATAAATCTACATTTAAATACGCTTTAAATATGAGAACTCTGATATATGTAAGTTAATATATTTTTAAACAAAAACAATATTCCAATTTGACCTTTTTTAAAAGTGCTTTTTAGATTCATAGCATATATAGTCATTGACCCAAGTCTGAAAGAGGTGCGGGAACATGATTTAGAGAGAAAGAGGGACGGGGTAATTTTTCGCTATTAAATCAAAACTGTTCGTACAAAAATTATACAAAAAATCATGAAGATTATCTTTACTACATGTGCCAGCAACCTTAAGAAAGTTTTTTTTTTTTTTTTTTTTTTTTTTACCAAATTTTAACTTAACAACAGGTTTTTTCACACACAAAAAAAAAACTGAAATTGAAAAATAAACAATTTTTAAGGCTTAGATAATTCATGGTTTATCAGTTTAATAAAAGGTCTTTAATATGTATATAAAAAAAGATGACTTTTTTTTTGTGCTAAATGGTGAAAAGAATATGTCAATAAAATTTGAAAATTATAGCTAACCTGGTTTTTTGAAAATAAATGTTTTAGTTTGTTTTAGTTTGTTGATTAAAATTGAAAAGTTTCTCTCCTCGTCAACAACTAAAAGGGATGGGGTATATTGGGAATTTCCTGTCAAAAAAACCACAAAATGTGCATTTATACAGTAGTTATAGCAATGTAGCAAATATTCAATTATAAAAATATTGAAAATTAAACGAGAGGAATATTTAGTGGGGTGTGCATTGTACATCCATGAGGGAAAAAAATAACAGTTGGGAAAACAGACATGTTAAATGTTGAGAGAGAGAGAGAGAGAGAGACCCAATATAGTTAAAATTGCTCGACGATTATCGACAGTTTTCAAATTATCAGGGTCGGAAAACATGAACATCTTATTATTGGACCTTGATCTAGAATGTACGAAAAATATTATTCATTTTAAACCTATAGTAATTCATGAGATACTATTTTCTTCATCAAAGAGAGATCTCGAGAGATACACGCTGGGATCATAAGAGAGAGAGAGAGAGAGAGAGAGAGAGAGAGAGAGATCCTTTTGATAAACATGCAGACATTACATTCATGCACGAGAGCAGATTTCTCTTTTTTTATTTTATTGAAAACAACCAGATTTTACCTGAATCATTATAGTTCGTGTATACTTTAGTTATAAGAAAAAGAAATCGTTTTTAAATATCATTTGTAAAAAGTACAATATGGCGTCTGATTAAAATCTGGTTGTTTTCAATAAAATAAAGAAAAAACTTATACCTGGTATAAAAATCCAAATATGTGACACAATAATCCGTAGTTGTGAGTGAATGATGTTTTCTCACAATGTTTTATACAAAAGTTATGAAGAGTTCTGTGTTACATATCTTGACTGTATCAGTAGCTTTTTTAAAGTTTCTATTTATATTTTTATATCTATATATATATATATAACTTTAAATATTAAACTGGGTAATACATCACATATAACATTAAGTTGTGTATTGAAATGAAGAACAATTATAATGGAGGCTTGAAAATTAATTTACTGTTCTTTCTTGATGGTATCACGTATTAAAAAAACTATGTCATCCTTCATTTCTATCTTGTATAATTTACAAAATGTAGTTTATTTAGACTCGTTCAGAATCACTGCACTTTAAGGCCATTCTTCACATTCTCAATCATATTAATCAGGCAGTGCCATATGCCCTCATTGAAAACATTTGTATTAAACTGATCTAATGAAAAAAAAACATCTTACTACTCAGACTAAAAACTTCGCCACTCTATATTTTTTTTTCATGATATTTAAAAAGGATTGTTTTTCCAAATACACCTCATTTAAATATACTCATATATGCAATGATAGATTCATTATTTAATAATTAAAATATCAATATTATGTAATAGAATTAATTTTTCTAGCTTAGACATTTGATGTAGAATGGAAGACATTTTAATCTTCAACTAAAATAAATTGTGAATGGGTCACAGATTTACATAACGAAAAAATATTTTTCTGTCTGATAAAAATCCCGGTCATAAGAAGACGACAATATCTGATTTACTGATAGTGTGGTTATCTAAGACAGCTTTAAATCTACACAATTAACAAGGATTAAAGACAAGTCTACCAGGTGCCATTTAAGGGTAGCATGTCATGGCATTTAAATATAAAAGTATAAATTATTAATGGTATTAAATTACAAATGTACGTGACAAACAAATTCAATGCGTTAAATATACAGCATGAATATGATCTAAAAATTCATTCTAAACTTAAGAGATTAAAAACTTGCCGAATACAAATGAATAAAAAAAAATCCGTAATACACTGTAAATGTTTTTACAGCATGTTTGATATTTATTAACACCGGAATTTAGACTTATCATTTTCAAATTTCTAAATTAATTTTAGGAAGGAGTACTGCATGAAGGAAATATCAATTCTATGGAATTTTTAGTGAGGGTGTTTAATTAGATATCATTAACAACTAATTCCGCCCTTGATGGAACTTATTATATCTTTATGTACTTTAAAATCGCTACATTTACTTATCGCCTTACCCAAATATTGTCTTCAAGAGAAATTGCTTGCACGGCGTCAGGATTTTTTTTAAATCTATTTGTCCGGTATTTGATGCCAATATACATCTGCATGCTTAAAACAATTCAATCTAAACTTTGTACACATGGCACCATTTCTTCGAAAGATAACACAACCCCTATCTGTCTCTGCTTTTACTTTAATACTGGCCATGTGTTTTTATAATCAGTTACTAATCAGCATTAGGTTAAAAGAGCAGTGCCCTCTCTCAGTTAAATAGCATTAAAAGTTAAAAAGAATGGATGTATAGGAAATTTCATAACATTTACAAAAATAATTGACACAATCATGGAAAGCTGGAACCCAATTTTTTTTTGTAACTTTAAAATAAATATAAACATCCACTTACTAGTAACTAAGATTATAAGAAAGTGTTCTGTTATATATTAGTATACTCTTTTTTAATTCATAAATAAGATTTGTGTTATATATTACTAAACTCCTTATTTAAATTCATAAATAACATGAAAAATTTTACTATGACACTTGGAAATGCACTTGATAAATCTCATAAGAAGGGCACCGCAACATGCGCAAGCGCAGCATCTCCTCGCAATAAAAGATCATATCTATAAATCATAGCAGCATTGGACATCGATCCCGATCTAAATTTAACATCAGTTCCATTTGACGGGTTTGCACTGAACAATCTTGCTCACACACAAACGAAATATGATACGAATTATGATATTTATTGATATTTTAATAAAGAAATTAACCGAGAGAGCATTTAGAATTTTCGTGATGAAGAATGATTATAAAATATACCTCAAATATTAACAAATTTTCATTTTTTTTTATAAAGTACAACATAATATGACTGAAACTTAGGATTTATACAAAAAAAGAAAAATGTTTGAGAAATTATTAAATTACCATGTTTTGAATTTTAAAAGCATATATAATTTTTTTTTCTTTTTAAAAATTCTTATTATCCCTTCTTTCAAACGTTTAGGCTATCATAACATCAAAAACATATTTATAGGACGTTTATCTAACTTTCAGTTGAAAATACGTTTTGAAAACAGTTATATGAAATTGTAATTAAATTTTTCGACCTGTAATTTCTTAATATTGATTTTTTTTTAAAGAAAAAAATGCTTTAAAACAGTGCATCCGCTTCCTTTTATTAAGATGCAGGAAATATTGGACCCCTTCAAAATGGATATTAATATTTGTCTAATGCAGCATTTAATTTACTTTAAAAGTTGCATGGTCAGTCAAAAAAGATGAAACTTCTAATTCATTTATAAGTTTAGTCCTTTGACGTTCGAGCGATATACCGGTTATAATGTTTAAGCAGTCATCTAATGCATTTATTTAAAACTTATTTGATTGAATAATTACAATTTATCTTTCCTTAATTTTTCTGCGAATTTTTTGCTAACACATTATCTATCTCCCCAACAAAAATGATATAAAAAGAATCACCTTGATAAAATACACTCAGAGAAATCACTTTATAGATCCACCAATCCATTATCACAGATATGTTGAAGGTGTTGACCGAATCTTAAACGCAAGTCTATAATTTCTTACTCATTAAATATTAACATTTCAAGTTGGCTCTACGGGTATCAGAGCTTGAAGTATTATTCCGACAGGATACCTGCATAAAATACCTTGTACATTTAAATTTGTAGAATGGGAATTTTATAACGCCACTTTATAGGACAGTGAGGACACAGGCACTTGTTTCGTTTTCAGGACACCCCCAACTCGTATATATGAAACAAGGGACTGTGAGTCAGGACCCTTAATGATTGCCGAGGTTTTATTTAAGTTCCACTCTAAATCAATTGATATACCAGTTCAGAAACCTTTTGCTCTGTAGTATAAAATTACGCGATATACAGTTATCCATTGAACTTCCACATAGCATCGTCCAAACTTTTGTTATCTGTAAAGAAATCTGTAAATCTGTAAAATTGTTTGTAGTATTACACTGAAAAACTCCATATCCCAGAAGGATTAACATTTAAAAAGTGTTAATGATTAGGATCTTTTATACAAGTATGCTTGCAGGAAAAGCATTCCTTACTGCTCAATGACCTAAAGTGTTGATTATAGGTTAAAATGTAGGTAACTCTCCAACGGCAAGTAGCGGCGTCTCAAAATCATTAAGACATTTTCGGAGGGTTTGGTAAAAAAAAAATAAAAGCGAGGAAAATTTTAATTTATACAGGATGAGTCTTACATGTATTCATGTGTGCCTGTTATTCTCTGCAAATTATCTTATTCCCTCTGAAAACTACAACCTGTTTATTTTGGCTTGTGTTTTTTTTTTGCGTAATGAGCCAACGATACAATTCTTTTTAAATGGAAACCTAGGCAATCATAAATTATATGTAATCTATCTGTATTCAGGAACGACTACTTCAAAGACGTTTGTGTTGAGGGAAAACTTAAGAGGCAATCCACCGAAAAACCAGGCAGCATTGCATTAATAGGCGGCACATCGAATGTCAGGAATATTTGATATTTTATTTAAAACAGTATCAATTTAATCCAAAAGGAATAATGTAATTGAAGATTTGTTTGAAAATTGCTTATTTAGTAAAATATCCTTGTGTTTTGTGTTTTTGAATTCCACTATATAAACCATTAAATGTAGGTCAGAAACAAGAACTGTAATTTCTAATACATTTTTACCAGGACTATAATTCAAACTTAACTAAATCTAGAAATATTTCATCTTTTTGTTTAAAAAATAAAATCGGTGGGAAAAGCACTTTTGAAAGTAGTTTTCTGGCAAAATATATAGTTGTTTTTATTACATTTTGCGATGCAAGAGTTACATGTTTCTCCCGTGAATTCGGTTAATCTGCTTAATACCTTTTTATTGGAATCCTAGTGAAATATTAAGAATCGATACACTAAAGAAAATTATTAAACCAAAAATTACTAATTTATTTTCAAAATCTAATTCATTTTCGCCTCCAAACGTAATATTTAGATTGAAATTTGGCTCTATTTTTCAGGTTGAATCCACGTTTCCATTGATGTACATGTATCAGTGACGCTTGCGATTTTCAGAATGCTGACGGAAATGAAATGCATATATGATGGTAAATTAGGACCCTATACATTAATACATAGAATTAAGATAAAGATGTTATACAATGTTATTCACTTTAAACGTGCTCCTAATAAACAAAATTCAGGAAAAATAAGATGAAGCCTTGAGAATGCTTCAGATTTCAATGCTTCTGATTCATGTAACATGTAAATACATGTGTGCACGGAGTGTATTTAGGAATTAAAATGAACCAAGTCACGAGTTTTTTGTGGAATTTAAATAGTTTGACCTTTGAATGAAATTAATGCACTACTAAACAATCACGTTACAAGCTAGTAAACGGAAAAACAATTCGATCTTTAAGTAGACGACTGTACAATACTACTTGTTTATGCAAATTATTCAGTGATCTTAAGAGAAAAAATTATATTTAACATTGAAGGACGAAGGTTTCACTTAACCGTAAATACGTTTCCTCAAGATTTAAATTGAATTGTACTTTCAATATTATGTAACGTGTCAGACAACTTTACTGTACATCAAATAAACCTACTATTTATACACGGCAGCATGTTTAAAGGCTGCCAGTTTTTCGTTGAGTACACTACATGTAACATCATTATAATTTATAAAGACTAAGATTCTGAATGTTAATGTTAATGCGTACTTAATTGATAAACATGGTTAATTCTTAAATTTATCCAAATAATTTGGTATAAGTATATCTGATTTTATCTTGAATCTAAAGTGAAAAAAGAATTATAGCTAAAATTATTCTGCACATAAACGATAATATAGTTTATGTATAATTACCAATGCATATTCATTTTGACATAATAACTAATTTGTAGAACTTTTTGTTCATTAACATTTTCGTTTACTGTCGAGAACCCAACTCACAGTTATTGTAATATCGCAGAATTTCAAGAAACCTCCTTCACTCTCTATTCTCATAAACGACAAGACATCTAGGTATGTTGCACTTTGCCACTAATGTGACTTTAATTATAGAAAATACTTGTAATTAATTATGTAATAATTGATCATGTGATCCATAAAATTATAAATAAACAACTTATTTACTATTATTATTTATTATTATCAACAATTTACAACAAAATGAAACCGAATTATGAACATGATTAATATGTAAATCCTGATTGCATAATATATAATAATGGCGTAAATGATTACATATATATATCAAACATTCTTGTGGTCTGAAACCGCTATGTACTTGATTAGATTTATACGTTAAATCAATCTGAATCAAGTTCAGACCCCAACTTCTCTTTCGTTTGAAACTTTCACCCTCCCTCCCTCCCTAATGATGTCAGATAATGGTTAAATGATTTTAATTGGCAAAATGCAAGTGTGTGTGTTTCTTTCCTACTAGTTGTAAATAATCCATGGTTTCCTTTTTGTTTTTGAAGATTCTTCAGTTTGCATTATTTTGATTTGTTTTTCTGCCGTATTTGTATTGTATTTTTTCAGAGCGTTTGCGTAGCTGACTTCAAGTTTATGGAAGAAAACTTGCCTTTGCATTATTAGGGATGCGATTACAAGGCATTATGTTGATGCCTCGGCTCCCTCATTTCAGCGGCCGTGGCCTATTCAGCCAAATAAAAAAGTTTCTAAATTTTTCTTTGCTTTTTCATTGAATGCTACAAGGTAATGAGCGCATTGGGCAATCCCTGTTATTTTCAAGTGTTTTATTTATCTTTGATAATGACTTTTAACCACGAATTCATTCAAATTATTTATTATGTAAAAGTCAATCTTTGAAAACTAAAATTTTTTATACCAGTAGCCCTCCCTCCCACCCCACCCCACCCCAAAAAAAATAAATAAAGACAGAGATTTTTAAGGAAAAAATGACATTATTTTCTTATGAATTTTGTAGCGGAATGTTTTTAACACATGAAATAAAGATAAAGTCTTTTTTAAAAAATGATATATATTTTGTGTTCATGAATAAAGATAATTTTAATTACCAGAACAGATTGCTTTTTGGTAGTGAAACATTTAGATATTTCACATTGCCTTGTGTAATAATTATTAAGAAATCCAGATACACTTATAATAAAACAATTAACGCATGTAATAATTATTTTTTTTTAAAAAAAATCATAGACGGTAATGATAAAACCTGTCTTGTTTTAGTATTTCTGTAAAAGATTTTTTAATTTTTAAGAATAAATAATAATTAGACACCGGGAGCAAGCCCCTTTGGCTATTAGCTAACTTTGTTCTAAGTGCCCGAGTTTATGCATGTTGACAAGAATGTTATATAAAAATGACGTTCGAGACAAAATTATGAGTTGAAATAGATTTTGAAAAATAATATTGAAACAGCTTAAAAGTTAAGTTCAAAGATTCTATATAAGATGTGTAAAAGTGGTTTAATGACCATTAAGCCACCATTAAGCTCGGCTTAATGGTAGCTAAATGAAGTTTGGACATTAAGCACCTATAATTTGCAACTAAATGGTGGCTCAATGGTGTGTTAAAGGAATTAAATTCTTTTAGCCACCATTAAGTTACCATTAAGCTACCATTTAGCGATTGCTTCTTTGGTCCTGTGCTACCTCGTGAACTTTATGGGTTTTATTCTCTCTTCATCTTTTTGTATCTTTAAAGTTTTTTTCGGAAATCAATCATTGTTCAATTTCTTCTCTCTTCACCTTGGAAATTGATCCTACACCTAATGTTTTTAGAATTTCATTTTCACTCTGATCTAGATTTCTTTTGTTTAAACGCATTTTTAAGTTCCCTAAAAGATCGTTATCTCAGCAACCTGGGATAACTTGCAATACGCCCATTATGTATACGTAGTAGATAGACCCTCATTTCCAATTTTCGTTGATGGTCCCTAACATACTCGACAAACTAGACAGTGGTTCCTTACATTATTTCTTTGTAAATAAAATTGTCAAAAATACAGTAAAACTCGTTTAAAACGAAGTCTCTGGGGCGTATGAAATTACTTCGCTATAACCGCAAAGCGATTTATCCATATAAGGAATTCATTAAATTCATATATCTGGGAAATCAAGAGTACTTCGCTATATCCATGAATTCGCAATTTATGTCTTTGCACTTAACGAGTTTCACTATATTTGAAAGAGTCTAAATACAGAAGACCCCAGGACCACCGAGGTCAGACACAAACATAACCGTAAAAGAAAAGATGCAAATTGGGAAAATAAATAAAATAAATGCACAAAATGCTAAGTACTTGCATTTTATCTCAGTACGATGACATTAAGATTTCAGCTTAGAACATAATAAAAACAATTTTATATTCGTTTTGTATCTAAATTGGAGAAAAAAATAATACAACTTATAGGAAGAAAACTTTTGTCAAAGAAAAGTTAAAATATTAAATGATAACATGTGTATTTTTACAATTTGTTTATATTTATTTAAGAAAAAAAACAAAGAAGTCAGATTCTCAATTATCTAAAAGGAATATGAACAATATTCGTAGTATAATTATAATACAAGATTAGGTTTATAAGTGAAAGAAATAATCCCAATTTAAAGCAGAATGTACATACACATTGATAAATCATATTAAAGTAATATAAGCAATAATTTTTTTAAAATGTAAACACATTCAATTCTTCAAAAAAAAGTCACATCGCTACATTTGGAAGAGTGTTTATCCTTAACAATGTTCCTTTTTGAAGCTTGTTGAGTGGTATTTGTTGTAGGGAATATTGATAAGACAGGAGAGATCCCGAATAGTCTCCACAGATTTGTTGACAGATTCCGAGTATTAGCCACGAAATATCTCTGAGGAAAGGAGGTACATAAACATCGTCATCATAGAGCAGCAGAGTCTGTAGATCCTGTAGAGATTGTTTTGACCTGCCTGTGTCACCCAGTCTGTAGTGATTCAGTATAAACAACATGTGTAACATCACTAGTGGTGGAATTTGTAATAAAAGTATGTCATGCTTCTTACTAATCTCCTGTTCTAACACAAGTTCATGAACTCAATGTAATTGTACACACAATTAAGCTTAATATCTCTCACTACAGCTCTCCTCATCTTAGCACCCAGTGTATTCCTTTCCATGTAATGTCTGTACATATCTACATTTACATGATTATCATACATAATATACGGCAATGACATTCTCTCCTGTGCTCTGTGTATACAAATGAGTGAGTTATCATATCTACGTGTTCTGTAAATGTACAGAGCAATGAATAGAATGTCAGATAAATATCCTAACTTACAAGACTGTTTTAGCAATTTACATATTTTTGCCTTATAGAAAACCTTATTCCGAGTTTTATTTTGATGCATACAACGATCTAAGTACATGGCAGTATTCCGTAACACCTCTGATGTGATACGTTGTAAAGACACTGTCTCATACGATGTAAGCCTTTTCCTTGTAATACTTTCTATTTGTCTCATGTAAACTGCAATATCAGTACAATTAATTTTTTGATGAAAAATAGTTAATTCTCTAAATAGGTTTATATCCAATTCAGTGGTCGTTATTATACTGTTCTCGTGTGTACGGATTCTAAGTGTTCTGTTTAATATAGCAGTACTGAGGAAAGGTCGGATTGTTTCAATTGATAGTAGACAAGATATTGCTTTGCTATATAAATCAAACAATTGACTGAATAATGAGGTTTGTTCAGAACCAATGACGTTCACTTAAACATGTTGTTTTGTGGAATAAAAAGTTTGGACATTCCCGTGTATGTACCATGCATATCAATTATTTAAAACTTTCCCAGAAACAAGTCAATAGGTTCTCAGGCGTCCAAAACAAGAAAATATTGGTCTATGACCCAAAATACAATAGTTTTTATAAAGTATGAGCAGAGAATTAGGTTAAAAATTAATTATATCTTTAAGAAAAATTTTGAAGAGACCATAACACAAAAACTGACTCTGATTCATCGAATAAACGAGATTTTGTTCAGCTCGAGAGAATGATATTCTCCATTCGAGTTCATTTTCAGGTGTGTTTCCGATCGGAACAACATGACTTCCTCCACTCAATATCTCTGATACAACATCCTGATCTGGCCAGCCCTGTTTATGACATTTCTGTATCCATGGTAGTGCTGATGTAGGCCAGTGATTTGAATGAAAACAAAACGCATTGTCAGTCTCTAAATCTAAATCTAAATAAATAGGAAGAACAAGGTCCATGTGGGACATCAGTAGGATCATCCAAGGTTTTTAAGAATTGCAAATAGTTTTCCCTGAAAAATGTATTTAAAATATATACATTGTTATTCGTTACTACACAGGAGGAGATGGTGTCTGAATTATTCGAAGGACTCATCAGATTATTGAAAGCTTTCAACATCTTACCAGTTATGCACATACATATTTTTGAATGTAACATAGGCATCAGCACCGGAATGTTTGGCTAAAATATACATAATGTAGGCTTTGAAAATTGGGCTTACCTTGGTAGTTCAACTTTCAATTTGCTACCGATGGCTATGTATATGTACATGTACGAGAAAAAAATACAGAGTTATATATAAAAAATATACTACATTGCATCTCAAATAAGAATACCCTAACATCAGTCTGTTTATATAAAAAATGCGCGGTATAAATACTTGTAAACGAAAAAATACGATTACTAACAGTTGGATGAGGGGGTTTATATTTGTCCTAAGGCACTACAGGTTGAGATAATAAAACGTTATTAAATGTTAAACAATCTAGGTAAATAATTTATCATCAGATATAGCTTATTTTTTAGATATGATATCTTAAACTTTAGTTTCAAAATTTGATATTTTTGTGTTTCTATTCATATGGAGTTCTTCTTTTAAAGGAGAAAGATATAGTGTCAAATTGGCCTCGACAACTCATCCCATTTAAAAGAAAAAACACTGAGATGGAAACCAAATTAAAGTGTGTCAAAATGACAAACATTGAACCAGCACTTCTAGACATTCTGTAAAAATAAAAAAGAAGATGTAAAAATAGTCAAAACATGCTTATAAGAAATTAATGAAAACACATATCACGGGTATTTTATGCTATCTTACAATACAAATACAAGAAAAACCATTTAATGTTTTCGAAAAGATAAATATTTTCTGAAAAATATACTTCCTGTTTTATCATTTACTTTCATTTTATTTTCTTTGTAACTGAATATGCCCTATAAAACAGATGTATGTCAGATAAAACTTCTATCATTACTACAGGCTCTGTATTCAAAACAGGTAATCTCTCTCTCTCTCTCTCTCTCTCTCTCTCTCTCTCTCTCCAGTATTTCACTGATAAAAATATATTCTACTTTTCAACAGTAAAAAAAATAGTACAAGAATGAAAAGCAAACGTATTACCGGAAGAAGTCGACAAAATAATAATGAAACAGATAGAGCCTAGTTTTAATAATAATATTTTTTTCGTTAATTAAAAGCAACGTTTTGACCAAATGGCATGACATTTAGTCTAATACTTTAAGATAAAGCAGAAAGAGATATGAAACATGTATTTTGAAAACAATGAAATTGTGACATTATATTCGGAAGGAAAAAAATTGTAATTCTTTGTTTTTTTTATATTTTTTTTCAGGAACAACAAAAATGGATTCTGTTGCTCTTAAAACAATGGAGAACCAAATCAAAGGTATGAATTTTAAAGCAATCCTTTAACCTTTGTTTAATTTTTGAATCCAAAAGGATTTTCCAACAACAAAGGGCAATAGGTCTTTTATTCATTACAATTGATTTGAATTTAAATATTAGTGTTTTATGTGTTTAAATCCTCTTATTCCAATCTTATTATTTATGTTTCGAAAACAATTCTGCAATAATACTCAATTATATTGTGATTTAATCTGCAATATATTTGGATTGAAATTATGCAAATCTTATTTATATTCTTTTTTACCAAAATGGTTCAGATGATGAAGATGATGAAGATTTAGTCTTAGAAAAAAGACATCTTAGGCGTCAAAACAAAACAGATCAACTTAATGATACACTAAAAATAGCTTGTGACGTTCATTCACCTGATTGCTTATCCGAAAAACTTTTTAGAGGACAACCGTCGTCCGATGACTCAGCATTAAATAAATTGGAAAATTTCTCTGATAAACAAAAGGCAGATTTATCCCATCACAAAGTATCGGAAATCGGGTCGCTGAGCCTCGAAGAGGAAAATGGTTTCAGTCAGGATCCAGAAGGAACTTCTAGTCAACCATCTCAAGACTGTAGGGAAACGGACATCATACATGCTGACTCGATTTTCGATGATAATACATCCCTTCCCATTCAATTGTTTAAATCGGGATTTGAAAATTCCAGTTTAACTGAAAAATCAAAACTCCAAAAATTTGAAACTGAAACAATCACAAAAGAATTTACAGCTACGTTTATGCTCTTGAAGATACCGATACAATCAATAAGGCATATTCAACTACAGATCCATTACAATCACCAATATATCCAACAAAAGAAGTTAAAAATAACTCAAAACAATTCAGCCAATTATCGTTTTTGGAAGAAGATTCCAGCTCAGTTGAATCCATAACAGAGACTTCATCAGCAACTTTACGAATGCATGAAGAGGATGACTATGGATTGACCCTATTAGACGTGGGTCATGCTCGGAGACGCCACGAAGAGTCCATCTCGTCAGAGTTAAGTGATAGCGACATCGAGGCTTTACTTAATTACAGAGGAGGCTTTTCGAACGAAGTAGATATATACAGACATAGATCAACTTTGTTTGTGGATGATGTATTCATAAGAGAAGTTCGTCCAGCAATTTATAGTGAAGATCAATTAAGATTATTCATATTGGATTTCTTTTGTTGTTTGTTTATTTCTTCACTTATATTTTTCTTTCCTTCCTTTCTTTTCTTTTCATTCGTCCTTTTCAACCTTTTTTCTTTTACTTACCCCTTTGTCAAATAATCGATACGTGTAATTGATTAGGAGAATCAAATTTAATCAAATTCATAATACACTAAAATACAAATCTCATTCAATCTTGACTGAGTTCAATCAGAGTGACTCTGTTATACACATACATTGTATATATGAATGCATAAGACTCTTGTATTTACGAAAAAATAATATAGTTTTTTTTTGCTAAGAAAAATTATTGCAAATTTGATCATGAAAATTATTTGAACAAGATTATGGTCTTTTAATTTTTTAATAAATATCGCATATTCCTTTCTTTTCACTGTTTTTTTTATTTTGAACATAAAATATTAGAAGCCTTTGTTGTGACTGTAGCTCTACTGCTTTGTACTTGTAAAAAAGAGAGAGAAAATAGCAATTGCATTTAGAACTTTGCAACAGTAATAAAAAGAATAATGATCCATGATTAAGTCTCTTTTTTCGGCACGATTGCAATGCATGTAAGACTACATAATTATGTATGAGTAGCCTTTTAAATGAATTTTACAGAAATTACAATATGAGTACCATAGCCACATAATTCATCAAAATATTAAAAAAATAAGTAAAAAATAAAATAAATAATCATGTATCTACATGTAGTCTTCTTGCCGAGCTATATTGAAATCAGACTTAAAATGTACAAGGAGTTGCATTTTAATAGTATTTCGAATAATTATTTTGAGTTTCCACAGCAAGACCCTTCAACAAAATCAAAACTCCATTAATAAATATGTATCTTTTAATAGTCTTCTTGTGTGCTACATGTAACTTATGTTGAACTAACACTAAAACTGCAAGAGGAATAGCATTTTAAAAGAATTTCAAAGACATCTCTGTATCTAGTAGCCATGGCAACACCGTTCATCAAAATCAAAAACCAATTTTAAAAATTATGTATCTCAGTGTACTTTAGTTACATGTGTAATCAAAGCTGAACATAAATATAAAGTAAATGTCACTACTTCAATTCCTTGGTTCAAATGTATACATATTACAGCAAAACTCGTTTAGTACGAACACGGATATTGCGAATTTACGGTTATAACGACACTCCACATAATTTAATGACTTGCTTATACGGTTATAACCTCTAGATAATACATTTGTAATCAAAGTTGAACATTAATATAAAGTAAATATCACTTTTACAGTTCCTTGGTTCAAATATATACAGACACACTACGCTTAATTACAAAAATGATACACAAAATTGTCCACAATTGAAATGGACCATAACAATTGAATTGTATTAATATACTTGATTTTTTTTTCCTCAAGGGCAGAGTTTCTATTGTATTTTCTTACTTTGATTTATTGATTAATGGTTGCTTTACATTGTTTTTTCTTTATTCTGCCATAGATCTTCACCTTATCACGTATCCAAGACATCTGTATGAGTTTTCAATTAATATTGATTCATCAGTATTTATCATATTCGAGGGAAATGATACCTTCAATCATTTCTATTTTACCACCTTCCTTGAATAGTAACCACTACTTTTTATTCCCTCCCACGGAATTAGGGTTATAGTTATGCAATGTGTCTGTGCATGGGTGAACGATTTCACGCAGTGCGAAAAACGTCACCAGATTCATATGTGCTTCAATTTAATATTTTAGAATCTTAAATTTATTTGCACAAATAATGTTTTCTCTGGAGTAAAAAAGAGACAACAAACAATAGTGATGAAAATTATGTACATTCTATAAATTTCGAATTTGGCATTAAGGGTCATCTCTGACCTGCAGAGAATTATTAAAGTTTAAAGCATCTGAGGTCTTGAATTTTTTCTCCTCTATATTGTAATGTATTTTCAAATTTTCACATATTTTTCCCTCGCATGTCCAATATATCTCCCCCATAAAACAAGGAATTTTCCCCCAACAACGAAAATTTGACAGCCCCCCTCCCGAATTTATATACAGATTTTACATTGTATACGCATCATGACATTCTTCATATTGTTTTAAAAATAAAACTCTGAGATTTCCTTAATAACATTTCCTTCCAAATGAGCTTCATTTTTTCCACTGTATTGTAGAGGAGATAAATTGCTCTATAATATTGAAAATGGTTACCTCTCCTAAGGCAGTACATATAAATAAGATTCGGTTATTCAAAGTTAATGATTCTCCAGGAGACGTTTTCCTAAAAGTACGATAAATAGTCTACTAAATCATGTAAATTGAATTCTATTAATAGGTATGAAAAATCCCAAAGTTATATTTAAATCACCAAAGATTTTTAAAAGGCTATCCTACTAAAATAAGTTACACATAATGTACATTTTGCTTCCTCCTGGGTCGAATTTCAGAGCTTAACAATACTTCTTACGTCACGCATTCGAATAAGTATTTTTTTAAAAATGCCCATTTTATTAATTCAAATGCAAGCTATTCATAATGGTGTCCTTTAAACACTGTGTACTTTCCGAAATCAGTTTCCTGTTTTTTAATATGTACTTTCACTTCAATTTCTTTGTAACTGAAATCATCCCTTAAAAACATTTGTTTATCAGATATTACTATGTAAAATAAAAAGAGACCACGTCCTCTTTACAGGTAAGTACTCAATCACCATTTCTGAAAACTTATTACAAATTATAGAAAGATGATGTAAATTAATTGAGAAAAAAATGATACACATGTATAGTAAATTTATGTTTTTTAAATCAATACTTCAGCTTATTGTTTTAATGATATGAGTGACCAAGTACTCATTTAAAACTTTTTAAGAATAAAACTTTTTTTTTTTACTCTTGGATATAATTTGTTTTCATCTTCAGAAAGGCAGTGATGATTTGAATTGTATTTGATAATACACCGATGTGTATAAATGAATTGTCACCAACGTCAATTTCGGTTTATTGAAATAAATATCAGAGGACATACCGTATAGCAGGAAATCTAACTTTTTTATATTATACTATTGCTTATCAATACAAAAACATTAAATTAAAGATAACTTTCATTTGGTATTGGTGTTTATTCAAATTCATACGTAACGAAAAGAAAGGTACTGTAATTCAACCTAAATATTGCTTTCCTCTATTTTGCGAAGCCATAGAACTAAGTAGCCGTCAAATAAATATATGTAAATATTATAAACATAACTTGCTAATTACTATAAAACACCAAAATAAATATTAAACGCCAAATTTTACAATTTTTTTTAACTTATCATAGATACAAAATATCCTGCTTTCACAACATATAACCATATTATTTTAATCCTCTTAGTATTTGTTTTATTCAAATGTTTCAGATAACATATACATGTATAAGACTCAATATGGATTTTGAACCTAGACAATCGGCGGTGAACAAACGCAAACGTATGTATGTTAATATAAAATATAGCACAGCGGTAGTAATGTTTGGAAAATATGAATTATATTATTAAATACTCTAAAAATTTTTTCATGCCAGGATTAATAAAATTAAACATTTGTATTGTTTGTATAGACTGAATGCATTTATCCGATCTTTAATTGTATTGTTATTTAATTTTTAAAACACATCAAATGTCTACGTGTTAAACAGTGTATTATTCTCTTTCAGAACTTTAAATGTCTATAAATATTTGTATAAATGATTTAAACAACAGGGTCAGGCGAGGAGGAAAGTGAATTTGAAGAAAAGAAACAGAAGCTTCAATCTGACACAGATCTGAATGGTTCACTACAACCTTCAATTTATCATGGTAAAGAAATTCTTCTCGAACAGCAAGAATTCAAAATCCAGCCAATAAAAATCGAGTCTGAAAATGATGATCAACAAGAAAGAGGAAATAAGAACAATTTGGATTCCGATTGTTTTAGAGAAAGGGGCGAGTTTGTTGCCTACACCATTCACAGAAAAGAAATATTATCTATTCCTGTGGAAATATTATCCTTTGGATCCGAAACTACTTCTTCGACAAACTTGACAGATGTCAAAGAAGACAAAGATGGAAATTGCATTGAACATGCAGAGGGTTCCAAAAAGATTTACATACCTATTGAAGTAAGAAGCACTAACAACTTCGAGAGTGAAAATAAAAGTCAAGCACAATCGCTGAAATATAAAGAAAAGCAGTTTGGAAATCTCTCAAAGGAATCAATCCCAATTTTCTTAAATGAGGATTCAAACGCTTTTGACTCCAAAACTGAGGGTACAACTTCACTACAACTACATCTACCAGAAAACAAAGAAGATGAAGACTTAAATCATCAAGGAGAGGCCAGTCAAGTATCTGAATGCGATGAAAGGTCTTTGGATTCCGGAATACTGGGCGAGAGCGAGTCTTTAAAAAATTACGACATTTACATTGAAAAAGATGACGATACAAACGTAAGCGAGCCAACGTTGATTGTGAAAGAAAAAGTTATCGAAGAAAAGGGACCAACTTCTCCAAGTCACAATCAGACAGGAGGTAGCGATGACGTCATTGGGTCTTTAGAGGAAAATGATGACGACACTAAAAACAGGAATGACCCTGATGATAAGAAAGAATCCGAAAATTATTTGTACAGGTTACTCCGACCTGCAGAGACTTATATCACTGGAATCTTTCCCAAAAATATTCATTCAAGTACAAGCCTTGAAGACCATGTTAGTAGTGGGTCTAGTTGCAGTGTAGCGTCAAAGTTCATCTCCTGTTCTAAGTCACTATACAAGATCAAAGAGTTTGCTAGATTGATTCGGAAAAGCTGGCGCCACGAGCTAAGGTACATTGTCCGGATTGACCGCAGCCTCATGGGAACCGATGTAGAGGAAATAGATCTCACTGACACAAGCATCCGAGAAACACACCTCACCAGTGACAGATCAAGAAGAAACTCCTTAAGATTTGAAGAGATTATATTGGTTCCGACAGAATGCATACCTCCTGCAAGCGTTAAGACGATCGGTCATGTGCAGAATGGCTTTTTTCATTTTGATGAATAAAAATCCAACAGATATTCTCGATATCAAAAAAAAGTTAATACGAAATTTTGAAAAAGCCTTCTATTTTTAATGTTATATGTAATGTGATAATATGATCTGAAACGAAATGTGTGTTTGTGATATTTTTAAGCTTTAAAATTGTTTTCTTTATTTCACAAGTTTCTTAATGCAAACAAACATGTTATTTATTTATTTTTAGAAATATTTTCCTGCATAAAAAATAATTGATGCATTTCTTTACTATTTGGTGTGTGACTGTGATGTTATTGAAGTATTAAAATAAAAATTGCTTGTATTTTGACTTTGTTTCTGTTTGTCACTGACGACTGGCTTTACTGGTCGCTCCAAATTCTTGCTTATTTACACTACTGGCTTTTAAAACCCCTGTCCGTATGAAAATCCACTGTCTTTCTCTGTATCCTACAGCATTTTCACAGTAATCTACGGTATATCTACAGTATGCTACGGTATGCTAGCTCTGTACGTACAGTAAATCTCTGTATGCCACTGTATGTACCCACAGCATGCCACAGTTACATACAGTAGGCCCCGATACGCCTACAGTATGCCACTGTATGGCTACTGTTTCCTACAGACAACTACGGTAAACCCCAGTATATGTCCCAGTACGCCCCTGTATATGTTCATTGAAGCAAAAAGAAGAAGTTTACACACTCCTAGAGCACTGTACGGTTACCTAAGATGTGGGATTATCAATTAAGTACACAGAGTTACTTACCTAAGAAATTTTTGAACATTATTTTAAACACATAGTAGTATTTTTTTTTTAATTTGTTAAGAGACTTATTGTGTTCTTTTATAACTCTGAAATAACTATTAAGAATTAATAAAGCGTTACTTCAAAAAATACTTATCTATCAATTTTTAAAATTAATTATTTAATTATTCTTTGGTTTGATTTATTAGTTAATTAATTTATTTATTTATCTGGCAAACAACTATTCAATCCATAAAATACTTGGAGTGACTTTGTAACTTTTGAAGAAAAAAAACGCGACCGGGGTAATGCTGCATTTTGGAAAATTGTAGCTTTTAAAATTGATATAGTTTCTTTGAAAAAATAAATATAATTAATTAACAGCATGAAATTAATCATTTTAGAAATAAATCAATCTATTTTCTTGACAAATGCAGAGCTGCATAGTAGACACGGCACAAAATAAATAAGGTGAAGTGGTAAGTGAAAATTAAATAGAATAAATGACTTTAAAAATACAAAAATTAATAAATGAACTAATTATTTTATCTTATTTATTTAATCTGTTTATCAATTTATTTACAAATACATAAATAAACAAAGTAAATAAAAAATAATTTATTTATTTTTGTAATTGAAAAACAACAAAGTGATTAAATATACACCCCCACCCCCGAATTGATTTTTTAAGTTTTATTTTTATATGAAAATTATTTCTCCTAAAATATGCTACATGTACAAAGTATTTTTTAAGCATATTAAAACAAATTTCAATAATTTTACGTCCATGATGGATATCAAAATAATCGTCAGATTATGCACAATTTTAGTTTGTCAATTGCAATTTCATATTTTTACTTTGTTTTGATTGAAAAAAAAAATCGGTTTTCAAAACCGTAACACGATTATGAAAGAACTTCAAAGCCATTGATTGTTTACAAGTGACATGAGGTACACAGTAATGACACCTATTGTCTTTTTCACTGACCACTATACCTTGTTTATTTTGTCGCAGAGAACGACCGTAACCACTCTGCGGCTGTTTGAAATAACATTTTAAACCGTTTTTTTGTCAAACTAAATAAAATAAAAGTATCAAAAAAGCTATTGACGGGTTAAGATTGTGCATAATGAGACGATTATTTTGATATCCAACACGGAAGTAAAATAATTAGAAGTAGTATAAATATGCTTCAAAAAGACTTTGAGAGACATTTTAGCAGAAACTTGTTTACATTAAATAAGCCAAATAAATCCAACTTTCGGGATTATAATTAATTTTTTTAAAAAATAAATAGATAAATATATTGTTCTTTTTACCATGATTAAATACGTGTTTTAAATCAGTTTTATTTATTTATTCACTAACCATTTAAAATCAATTATTGAATTGATTTTAAAAACTTTTTTTTTTTTAAATGCAGCATTCCTCTTGTTGTGTAGGTGTTTGTGTGTAATTTTTTTTTGCAACAGGTACAAAAAAGCCATTCCAATTATTTTATGGATTAAACAGGTGTTAGAAAAATAAATAAATTGTAAATAAATAAAATGAATAATTAATTTATCACCATAAAAATGTCAAACTCTTTAATTATATTTTTTAAATTGACAAAACAACAAAATAATCAATTATTTATATCCCCGAAAATGAGATTTTTTAGGGTTTTTTGTATAAATATTTTTATCCTAAACTATGTTACAAAGTATTTTTTAAGCATATTAAAACAGATTTCAGTTATTTTACGTCCATGATGGATATCAAAATAATGGTCAGATTATGCATAATTTTTATTTGTGAATTGCAATTTCATATTTTTACTTTGTTTTGATTGAAAAAAAATCGGTTTTCAAAACCCTAACACGATTATGAAATAACTTCAAAGCCATTGATTGTTTACAAGTGACTCTGGGTACACAGTAATGACACCTATTGTCTTTTTCACTGACCACTATACCTTGTTTATTTTGTGACAGAGAGCGACCGTGTCCTATCTGAGGCTGTTTGAAATAACATTTTCTCTTTGTGAGAGAACCGAATTTTTTCAATCAAAACAAAATAAAAGTATCAAAAAAGCTATTGACGGGTTAAGATTGTGCATAATGAGACGATTATTTTGATATCCAACACGGAAGTAAAATAATTAAAAGTAGTATAAATATGCTTCAAAAAGACTTTGAGAGACATTTTAGCGGAAACTTGTTTACATTAAATAAGCCAAATAAATCCAACTTTTGGGATTATAATTAATTTTTTAAAAAAATAAATAGATAAATATATTGTTCTTTTTACCATGATTAAATACGTGTTTTAAATCAGTTTTATTTATTTATTCACTAACCATTTAAAAATCAATTATTGAATTGATTTTAAAAACTTTTTTTTTTTAAATGCAGCATTCCTCTTGTTGTGTAGGTGTTTGTGTGTATTTTTTTTGCAACAGGTACAAAAAAGCCATTCCAATTATTTTATGGATTAAACAGGTGTTAGAAAAATAAATAAATTGTAAATAAATAAAATGAATAATTAATTTATCACCATAAAAATGTCAAACTCTTTAATTATATTTTTTAAATTGACAAAACAACAAAATAATCAATTATTCATATCCCCGAAAATGAGATTTTTTTAGGGTTTTTTGTATAAATATTTTTTATCCTAAACTATGTTACAAAGTATTTTTTAAGCATATTAAAACAGATTTCAGTTATTTTACGTCCATGATGGATATCAAAATAATCGTCAGATTATGCATAATTTTTATTTGTGAATTGCAATTTCATATTTTTACTTTGTTTTGATTGAAAAAAAATCGGTTTTCAAAACCCTAACACGATTATGAAATAACTTCAAAGCCATTGATTGTTTACAAGTGACTCTGGGTACACAGTAATGACACCTATTGTCTTTTTCACTGACCACTACACCTTGTTTATTTTGTCGCAGAGAGCGACCGTAACCACTCTGCGGCTGTTTGAAATAACATTTTAAACCGTTTTTTGTCAAACTGAATAAAATAAAAGTATCAAAAAAGCTATTGATGGGTTAAGATTGTGCATAATGAGACGATTATTTTGATATCCAACACGGAAGTAAAATGATTAAAAGTAGTATAAATATGCTTCAAAAAGACTTTGAGAGACATTTTAGCGGAAACTTGTTTACATTAAATAAGCCAAATAAATCCAACTTTCAGTATTATAATTAATTAATTTGCTTGTATCGTCAATTTTAAAATCAAATAGATAAATATATTGTTCTTTTTACAATGATTAAATACGTGATTTAACTCAGTTTTATTTATTTATTCACTAACCATTTAAAATCAATTATTGAATTGATTTTAAAAAGTATTTTTTTTTAAAAAGCAACATTACTTTTGTTGTATAGGTGTGTGTGTGTAATTTTTTTCCAACGGGTACAAAAAGCCATTCCAATTATTTTATGGATTAAACAGGTGTTAGAAAAATAAATAAATGGTAAATAAATAAAATAAATAATTTATTTATCACCATAAAAATGTCAAACTCTTTAATTATATTTTTTAAATTGACAAAACAAAAAAAATAATCAATTATGTATTCATATCCCTTAAAGTTAGATATTTAAGGGTTTTTTTGCATTAATATTTTTATCCTAAACTATGTTACAAAGTATTATTTTAGCATATTAAAGCGAATTTCAGTTATTTTACGTCCATGATCGATATCAAAATAATCGTCAGATTATGCACAATTCTAATTTGTCAATTGCAATTTCATATTTTTACTTTGATTTGATTGAAAAAAAAAAAATCGGTTTTCAAAACCCTTACACGATTATAAAAAAAAATTCAAAGCCATTGATTGTTTACAAGTGACTCTGGGTACACAGTAATGACACCTATTGTCTTTTTCACTGACCACTATACGTTGTTTATTTTGTGACAGAGAGGGACCGTGTCCTATCTGAGGCTGTTTGAAATAACATTTTCTCTTTGTGAGAGAACCGAATTTTTTCAATCAAAACAAAATAAAAGTATCAAAAAAGCTATTGACGGGTTAAGATTGTGCATAATGAGACGATTATTTTGATATCCAACACGGAAATAAAATAATTAAAAGTAGTTTAAATATGCTTCAAAAAGACTTTGAAACACATTTTAGCGTAAAATTGTTTACATAAAATTAGCCAAATAGATCCAACTTTCGGGTATAAAATTAATAATTTTGTTTGTATATTCAATTTAGAAATAAGAACAAAGTTTTTATGCAATGATTGATTACATGCAATTAATAAGATTAATTCTTTTTTAAAAGAACATCAATAAGTTAAAAATAAAACAAGAATTACCCCGGCTGTGTTTTGTTTTTGTTTTTTTC